TCCATTTTGCTTTGGTTATTTTGGAGATGAGGTCTCACAAACTGTTTGCCCAGGCTGACCTCAACCCTCAATCCTCCCAATATCAGCCTCCCAAGTTGCTGGGATTATACGTGTGAGCCACTGGTACCTAGCTCAATTTATATTTCTACATAAAGATTAAAGAAGATAAGGCATTGATACTCTGAGTTAGCAATTTAGTTTTAATCTTGTGGTTATAATGAAAGATCATAAAATTGGCATTTCTAAATTGTTAATATGTAACTGGATCGTGAAGACATCCAGATGCTGTTCTAGGTCTTGAGGATAGGGCAAGGGAACAAAAAAAAAAAATAGAGGAAAACTCCCTTGTCTTCATTGAGTTTTCATTGTAGTGGGGAAATACAAGAAAGAAGTTCACAGTGAAAAGAGCTGTGGGAAAAATAGAGTGGGGAAGTGGAAAGGGCAGTGCCAGGTTGGGTTGGAGTTATCATTTTAAAGAAGGAAGACTGCTGAGAAGGTGTCCTTTGAGCAAGACCTCAAGAAGGCAAGGGCATCTTTTAGGGGAAGGCATTCTGGGGCAAAGGTGGGAGTGTCCTTGGCTAAAGACTGTTGAAGTCGGTGTGGCTAGAGTGGAGCACTAGGAAATGAGCTGAGCTTAGGGAGATGATGGGGACTAGACAAACAGCAGGAGGGACCCTGGTCTCCCTTTTCATAAGTTACTATAAAGGTATCCCCTGGCTTTCCTGAAACAAAATTTTTCGACATATGTCGAAATATGTGTACATACATATGTACACATTTTTTCAAAGAGATTTATTGTTCAACTAGTGATCTAAATCTGAAATACTAAGAAAGGTTTTTAAATTTTATTTTGTTTTTTGAGACAAAGACTCAAAGAGGTAGCCTAGGTTGGCCTTGTACTCTTGATCGTCTTGACTCAGTGCTGGGATTACAGGCATGTACCACCATGCCTGACTCAGAAAAATTATTTTTAATCACATATGCAGAATATGACATGTAACTGTTTAGGCCCATACTGACACTTCACCTGTGAGGGAATACTGTAGGTGAGAATACTGCCATAGCCAAGGAGACTAGTTTTCCAAGATAGTGAACACTTCTTAGTATCATTTCATACAAAAAAAATATAGTCTTAGCAGGGCATGGTGGCACATACCTGTCATCCCAGCACTTGGGAGGCTGAGACAGGAAGATCACAAGTTCTAAGCCAGCTTGGGTTACAAGGTGAGACTGTCTCAAAAAAAAAAAAAAAAGTGGGCAGCACAGTCTTACATGACTTATACTGTAGTTATATTCTGAGAAAATTTGGTACATGATTTGCAAAAAATACTTTTATGCCTTTATGTAAAACAGACTGTAAGCTTGGATAATTAGTAAAGGTTTTTGGTCCATGTGAGCATCTGACAGAACATCAGAGCCGTGTACAGATGTGGCTCATCTCTGTGTAAGACTATCTAGTGTTCCTGGTCCCCACACTTAGGGCTGAGCATTTCCTAGTGAGTTGTGCTGTCCCCATAGTGACCACTCGCATAGCACCTGGTGGCTAGTGTAACACTTTTTTTCAGCCATTGGAGAAATCTGAGCAGAGGAGTGACGCACCCGGTATTACAGATTGAGTATCTGTGTCCCCACCAAATATGTACTGTTGAATTCTTAATCTCCAGCATGATTGGAAATATATTAGGAAGTGCAACCACTGGGAGTTAATTACAAGGATGAGAACCCACAATAACATCAGTGTCCTTAGGAGAAGAGGAGGAGAGACCAGCGCTTGCTCACTTCTTCTCTCTTTTTGCCATATGAGGGCACAGAGAGTAGCAGGCTGCCTGCAAGTCAGGATGAGAGCCCTCACCAGAACTCAACTGTGCTGACAACCTGAGCTCAAAGTTTCCATACTCCAGGACTGGGAGAAATAAATGTCTTGTTGTTTAAGTCCCTCCAGTCTATGGTATTTTGCTATGGAGTCACTTGGCCTCCATTTTACGGATCAGCAGGTGCTGTGTTGAATGAGTGAACTGTTGAGGCCAGAAGAAAGCTAGAGACCAGGCAGGAGTCTGCTGCCTCATCTTAGCAAGGAAGAATGCTGGCTTGGGCCTGCCACCCAGAAGAGGGACTGAGTGGGAGAAACTTGCTAATGTAAGCACAGACCTTTAACTGATCAGAATTTATATCTGTGACTCCATTTCATGATTTCTAACTGTTTACTTTTTTTCAGAAACCAAAAAGCTGCAAGTGTTTTTGTTCCTTTTCTTTCTACAGTGGATTTGGCAGGTGCTTCTGTTCCTCAACCAAACATGTGTTACTGTTCCTAGAAATAGAGGTTTTTTGTACTAAATGGCAAATTATACCTAGTAAAGAAAATGAGCCTCATTTGTTTTCTGGAACTAATGTGAATTGTGACATTTTACTTCAGGTGCAATCTTTCAAAGCCTGATTCTGTGTGATTTTAACTATAGCAATATCATTGTCTGTCTCTGAAATTTCTCCAGTGAACAGAGTTGAACATGTTTTATTTCTGCAATTTCAGACTAAATGAAAACAAAGTGGTACTGTCATGTTTTATTTTTTATTTATTTTTTTGGCAGTACTGGGGTTTGAACTCGGGGCCTTTTGCTTGCTAGGCAGGCACTCTATCACTTGAGTCACTCCACCAGTCCCTCATGTTTTGTTTTGGAGTAGCTTTTCAAAGGTCACTTTGCCCTGGTACAGTGGGAAGGACTCTTCAGTATTTCCAGGGCAGTTTTAGGGCTCCTTACCCTTACCATAAAATAGGAGTTAATGCTGATTTTTGACACTCAACTCTTCATCAAATTACCAGTTATTCTTTAGTAACCCTACTCAGTTTGTTTTTAGCTCCTTTCCAGTAATGATAGGCACAAAGGACTGGGTCTAGTTTAGAACCGTTCTCTAGTAATCTTAAAAATATGCCAAATAATGCAACATGGCTGCTTTCCGAACCAGACTCCTGAAGTGTCTCTTGAGTGCTTAACGCTGGGGATTTCTTAGGAGGGAAGGGTCAGAACCAAATTAATTATTTGAAATTTGAGGACAATCTTATTTCCACATAAGTTTATCTTTCTGAACAGGTGCCTCTTGCCTTGGTTCCTCTTATGCTGACAGTCACTGCCCACCAGTCTAGCAAGTAGAGTGATGCTTTACTGGTATCTCCTCAGTGTCCTGTCACTCATGAGGTCCTGTTGTGTATTCTTGGAAAGTATCTCTCGAATCTGAGTCCTTCTCTCAGTCCCCTGTACTAGGTCTTAGGCTCATGGCATCCATCTCCCAGGTTAGCATGTAGCCTTCTGACCACCATCACTGCTTCCCCACCATCCCTCCGCCTGCTATAGCCCTCCCACTGCCCGTTACACTGCCATCAGATATACCCCACACAAATGCCAGTTGGACCATACTGAACCTGTCTCAGAAATGCTCCTGATACTATCTATAGTGGTACTGCCACCTGTGCCAGTATGGGCAGTTTGTCACCCGTGCATGAGGAAAGAAGTACAGAAAGGGAAAATGAGATTCATCCATGATGGGCAGGACTGGCCCTGCAACACAGCTAGCTTAAAAGCACTGACTGGCAGTCAGGCCTGAGCTCCTTAGCATGTGTGTGAGGCCTATCACAGTCTGTGTTACCTACCTCTCCAGCCTCCACTCCCTTGACTACCCATCGCTGGCACATAGCTCATAGACATCCAGCCTTTGTTTACAGGGTTGGACAAAGACCCCCTGCCCAGGTCATCTCTCACGTCCTCACACAGGGTGAGCCCCTTCCTCATCTAGGTTCTGGAGACACTTGTTACTGCCTGATATGGCACTTCCAGCTTGTACTGTGAGTTTTTGTCTTTACCTGTCTCCCTGCTGGGTTTCTACCACCTTGATGGGGCCGCTGGGCAGCTGAGTTTCTCAGAAAATGTCTGAGGCACCTAATGCAGACTCGGCACCCAGTGCTCTTCTGACTGAGTGCCTTTTGGGAGTCCTGAGAAGTAGGTGGGACTTGCCATGCCTCCTTGGATGTGTCCTCTTTCCCTCGCACCATTGTGGTGGCAGTTTCCAGTTTCAGTTTGTGATTTGAGTTTCACAAAGTTTTTCATGCCTTTGCAGTTGGTCTTCTGCCTTTTAGGCAGTGTACATGTTACTTTAGAACAGTCAAGATCTGTCTTTAAATGTGTGATAGAAACATGAGGTGGGAAATTGTGGAAAGTGATGACATTTTATTCTAACCTGTTTCTCTTACAGAATTTTCTAGGCTTAGGGGATGCACATCTACCTTCACTGCTCAAGCACAAAAAAAGCATTTTCTTTCCATTGTTGTGGAAGATTGAAATTAAGTCTAACAAGGGAATATGACAGAGGACATAGGCTGTTTTTGCTTTTGAATACCTTCAAAATGCATTGGGTTCTCACTTTTGTATTTTACTTTTTAACATGGAAGATTTTTAAACATTTCCCAACTAGAGATATTATATAATGTACTCCATGTACCCATTCCTCAGCTTTAACATGTACCACCTGGTGTCAAGTCTTGTCTGTTCCTTCTTGCTTCCCTCCCTCCTGATTGGGATGCTACATCTTGCATCTTGGAGTTCTCTTAGCAGAAGTCCCCACACATATTAGCATAGATTTTGGCTCTAATGGGTATTCTTAGCTGCATGATATATATTGGAACTTAGTTGTGATTGTGGAAGCACATGAATAAAGTGGGGTTTTTTGGTTGTTACATAGCTACCTGTCCCTTTATTCACCTTTGAGTGTCTGTGTTTTTTAATGATACCCCATCACTTGAAATGACATCCTGAGAGGCACTTGGGCATGTGATCCTTTGGTCTTCAATTCCTTCTTGATTGATTATAATATTCAATGTGTATTTTTTGGCCTGAGTTACTTCTGCTGAGGTAAAGATGGGTAAGAATATAGTAGAATCTGGCCGTGGTAGGTCTGTGCAGTTTTCCTGATTGCTTTGGTATTTCTACATCATTGTGTTTGTCAAAATGACACTGTGTGACTTGTAGAGGTTTTCTCTGAGGAAAATGTATTACATCCTTTCCCAGTTCGGGTGAGATTTAGAACATGAAGAGACTTTTGATTAGAAATCTATTTTAAAATGCTTTCCTTGTGAAAGCTTTACTTTGAAGGACATTTGAGACTTTCTACTTTGTAATGTGGGCCTGACAACTTTAATGGGAGTTTAAGGCTTAGATTAACCAAGGACCTTTCCTCTGGAGGAAAGGAATGAGCTGCCACTGGGGAGAGATACTCCCTAATTGGGTCACTTGAATGCATGAAGCACATTTGGGAGTCTTAAGTTTTTAGTTAAGGAACATGAATGACTTGGTTTCTGCCAGCTTTTTAAGTAAGAAAACAGTATTAGGACATTAAGCACATTCTTGAGGAAATGGCAGTTGTTTACCTCATTCAGACTGTGCCTGTCTAATTTCACTGTCAGCTGTCAGCTAGAGTTAGAATCCCCATTATCCTCCACTCATTCTTTTCTTTCCCTTCACTTATTTGGGCAGGCCTAGTTTTGCTGTTCTTTTCTCTATCCCACTCTGGTTCTGACCTTTCTTATTTGGGCTGTTTTCATTGCCTTCCTCCCACCTTTGTGATGCCTTCTTCCCACTTTTTCCTTCATTTATGCCCAGATGCTTGTCTGCTCACTTTTCAGGATTGTCATACTTCTCTTCCTCTCAGAAGCCTCCAACTTGGCCCTGGTGCCCACATACCCCATCACAAAGTCTGCAAGACTCCACAGAGGCCCTGCCTGCAGTCCACCTTATTTGTGTTGTGCTTCAGTAGAACACATCATACTGGCCAGGCCTGTGTCCTTGTACTCACAAACAGACTGAGCATTTGTCACTTATGTTGTCCTGTCACCTTCATACTCTGGGCCTGCCATCTTTACAAAAGTTTTTTGCCCTGAATATTCCAGCCCACACCTAGGAGACTCTGTGGCATATACCACATGTTTTCATGGATACTCACATTCTTTCTTTATCCTGCACAGTACTAAACAGAAAACCAGGCTGGTTGTAGATGCCTGACACTTGTATTTGAGATGTGTGTGGTAAATCACAACAAATAATTAGTAGTAGTTGGGTTGTTATACTCTCCTGAGAGCAAAAGAGGGAAGAAGAAAAAAAGGGGAGGCATGAGGGAGAGAGAAAGGAAGGGAGAGCAAGCAGTTGGGACTTCATCTCTGGTCTCTTGGTCCTTTAACACCTTCCCAAAGGGCCAGTCCAGAACATTTCAAGTCACTTCTAGAAATGCACTTAGAAGAGCAGGTTTGGAGAATTTCTAACTGTATGCCAAGTCTCTAGGCAGAAAGGAAGCTGGTTTTGAATGCCGGTGTGTGGGGTCAGATAGGGGCTCAAAAGGAAGGCCCAGGTGCAGGACAACTAGTGCTTATCTAGATGCTTCCAGAGAAGCATTGTGTTCCAGAAATACCATGCTCATCTGGGGAAGAGAAGAGAACGATCTTCCAAGGTTCCTTGAGCAGCAAATGAGCAACCCGTTCTTATGGGTTCTGTAATCAAAGGATTCTTACTTCTTCCTACGTGCAAGTCTGTCCAGAGCTATGTCCAAAGAGAGGTTGTCCATTCTCAACTCTGGTTTGAAAGAGTTATTTAAATTTTTCTTGACATCATCAAAGAAATTTTCTGTTTAGCTGACATTACCTCCCATGCCTGTACCACATCTGTCTAGCCTGTGCTAGGGACATTTGTGATAGCACTGGGGGGACTTTGGGGCCCAGTTTGCCTGGGAAACTGGAGGATAGGCCTGTAGGAGTGCCCAGTGAATGGGAGTGGGAAGGACAGGCCTTTCCTTCCTATTGGAAAGGGTTTCCTGAAATAACTTCATTTATTTATGCTGCTCCTTCTTTTTTTAATTTTCATTTTGGAAAAGCTTTCTGCATACACAAAAGTAAAGGGAGTAACACCATGACAGCCTCATGTACCTGGTACCAAGCTACAGTAAAGACCAACACACAGCAGTCCCATTTCTCTTCCCCTTTATTATGAAGCAATGCCACATCACTTTATTCGTAAATTTAATTTTGACATGTGGATAAATAAACAGGCATACTGGGCAGCTGTTTTTAGCTTTTATTATGAGGTATCTGTGTGGGACTACCCTTTTCATTATTAGAGTGGCTATCATATGCAGTGTTGACTATCTTGGCAAATTATTGCAGACTGCATTGCCAACCGTATATGAGCTGGGAAAAGGCCTGGGCATCAGCCATCTGTGGGCTCACTCTGGCTATTCACTAAGCTGGCATGAGCTTTCTGCACTTTCCTATGGGCCCTGCTTGAAATTCAATCCAGCCCTCAGATATCTGAGACCAGAAAAGCCACATACACATACAACAAAGTACTAAAAAGGAAGGCAAGGAGTGAGGGAGAGAAGCAGGAGCAGTGCGTCATAAGTACTTATCAGGTGTAGTGGATGGTGCATTTCTGATTTCCTGGAGAAAGGTGCCCAAAGGACAAATAGACTTAGATGGATGGAGATGGAGCAGGTGAGGGTACACATGGAGACCAACATGAAAGCATGGGGAAGCTTGGGTAAGAGTTGTCACTGAAAGATAATTGTGGAGAATTGGGCTCACACTTTTGGGGACCTCAAATGTTGAGGCCTCTGGTTCCCAAACCACATGCTGAGGAGGTTCTAGTGTGACACAGTGAGCTCACAGAGCATCTTGTTTGAACGTTTTAAGAGAAACACAGTGAAACTCAACAAGTGTCAAGCACTGTGGTCAAGGAAGTTTGTAGTTTCAATATTAGATTGAGCTACATTCTTTTCAATGATGCACAACCTTTTCATAGCCCTGTTTTTGGCAGTTGCTGTGACAAAATTCAAATGCCACATGAAAATCGATGTGGACTGGTAATGAGGGTGGCAGCATCCAGTCCATTATAAGGTTTGGAAGGTGTGCAAACACCCCATTAATAGGTAATTATGGTTAAGAATAAAATCAATTTTTTCTTTCAATGTGCATGTATTTTCCCCACATAGCTTCTCAGTTGCTAGGCCCTCAGTATTTACTGAGTTACTTGGACCTAACTACTTACTAAATGGCACTGATATGTAGTGCTTTTGGCCTAGGGCACTGAGTATAAATTTCTGAGACACAAAAGATGCTGTGAACCAGAAAGTTTGAGAATCTCGGACTTAAGCCACACAGAGAGAAGGTATTCAGTAGGTAGAGAGGAACCATTGTAGGATTTTATGTGGGGAAGACACATGCACAGATTTGCCTTTGTCAAGCCCTCTGAGGCAGCAAGTAGACTGTGGACCTGACAGGCAGACTTCCACATTGGGTGCTGGTTGCCTTGGGTGCAGTGGGAGGTGGTAAGGGAGATGAAAAGGAGTACATAAGTTTACAGAAATACTTAGTAGATCAAACGTCACAAAAGCGGGGCTTTAATTGAATGGGAGAAGAAGTGTCAGGACAACCAAGTTTCCAGATTGTGTGACTGGGCACTGGCCCAG